GTGCTTGTGTGCCCAAGATCCCAAAAGGAGAATGGAGGAGAAGGGATTGTGGCATGGCCGTCCCCCCTGGGGGATGATTTATCGCTTTCTATCTCTCTGTCTCTGTCTGGCAAGCGCACGCACCCTATAGCAAAAAACTCTCAAAAAAAAAAAAAAAAAGCTGCTGGAATACTAGATTCTAAGGACTCCTATTCATCTGTGGGAAATCAATGACTGTTTACAAACTGTTTACATATTTTGGTTAACTAAATAAATTAAAGCAAAATTATGGACAAGTATAGGATAATACAGAAGATGGATTTCTAAAGTTGAAAGTAGTTTAGTACATAAGATCTCTAGTGAAACTGTTTTGTTGATAGCATATCAGCTCAGAATTATTCTGGACAACTATTTCCAAAGTGTTTACCTCACTCCAAGATCAAAGCCTGAAGTTCATCATACACCTAGCACTAAGGTTCTGGGGTTATAAAAATAAATAAGATTTATGTCATTAAGGAGAGTGAAAGCTATTCAGGAAAGCAATTCTGAGGTAAATTGATTGAAACAAGGTAACCCTAGAGCAGGTAAGGGAAAAGGAGCAGAAAGGACAATTGACAAAGCAAAAAGACTGCTTTTGGGGGACCAGCAGTTAGTGTAATGGCTGTCGCTGAACTCCCATGAGGTCGACCGTGGTTTGAGTTGTGGACCCGGTGGCTTAAACTCACATCAGGCAAGTGTGCGTGCATGCCCAAGATCCCGAGAGGAGAAAGGAGAAGGGATTGCAGCGTGGATATCCCCCCTGGGGGGTGATTTCTCGCTTTCTGTCTCTCTCTCTTTCTGGTGAGCGCACGTGCCCTATAGAAAAACCTCTCAAAAAAAAAAAAAAAAAAAAAAACTGCTTTCTGAAAGGGTTAAAGTTAAAAAAAAAAAAAAAGACTGCTTTCTGTAAGTGGTTAAGTTCAAACTTATTTGAGCAAAGTTTTTAAAATTTTGAGAGTAAAAATTACCTGGTCAAGAGGATGAGAAGAAACACATGAACAAAGGCAGGGACGTGAACAAGACTGATATGAGTCAAAACTATACACAGATAGGTGTTCCTCTTTAGGACAGAAGTCTGACTGCTTTTTCCCCATTTCCAAAAATCCCTTCCAGAAGGCCTAGGGTGAGTCTTGCCTAACATTAACAAATCATTATGGCCCAGTTGATAACATCCTGCCCCTGGCACAGTTACCTTTCAATGGGTGAGTCAGGCCCACACATGTTAACAGATCATTTTAACTCAGTGATAACAGGACCATCCCTACATTCTGTCCGGGACAGTATCTTACGAAGTATACACACTCCTTTACCTCTATTAAGGCAGTTTACTGATCCATTCCCAAAACACAGAAAACCAACCTATACCCTACAAGCCTCCAGTTCCAGATGTCCTACCTTTTTGGGCCAGGCCAATGGGAAAACTCTTTTCACTAAATTCCAAACCTTGTCCTTCACTCTCAAAACCAAATAAAAGGAACCCCTGTATCTGATCACCTGGAGAATGGTACATTTGCCATTCTCCTAGGCTAGTCACTCACATTCGTGTTTAGAAATAAACTGCATTAACTATTATTCCCGCAGAGTTGGTTATTTCCATCAGAACTCTATCTCAAAAGTAATTAGATTTGAAACTGAAGAGAAACAAAGACCAATCCATTGAAGTCTTTATATATTTCATAGATCTTGGTCCTATACTTCTGATTACATCAAGACTTAGAAGAGCTTTAAATAGGTTATTTTTTAATCTGACTTTTTTTTTTTTTTTGAGAGGTTGTTGCTATAGGATGTGTGCACTTGCCAGAAAGACAGAGACAGAGAGAGAGACAAAAAGGTAGAAATCACCCCCGAGGGGGGATGGCCATACCACAATCCCTTCTTCCCCATTCTCCTCTTGGGATCTTGGGCTTGCACACACACGCCCGGCGTGAGTTTAAGCCACCAGGCCTGGGACTCGAATCGTGGGCGACTACATGGGAGTCCAGCGATATTGCCATTATGCCAAGTAGAAAGTGAACTGTGGGGACAAAACTAACAGCAAGATGGACTGATAAGAAAAATATTGAAAGAAACCACTAGTGCTTTGAAAATAGCACCATAAGCAACCAACTCCAAAACTATCCCAGTAAACTACTAGATATGAAAAACAAAATAATCAAGGCCTACAGGCAAAATACAATTATCAAAGTCAAAATTCTTAAAATGGTCAAGAATGGCTAGAATCAGGTTTTCAAAAGCAAGGCAACAACTAAGTAAAATCTTCAAGGAACTCGAGGAAAGAAATTTTCAGGAATTTTATATCCAGGAATGCTTTAAGTACTGAAATTATAGAAAAAGTTTAAAATATGTAAATACTCAAGAAGACAGTATGGGGACCAGCAGTTGGCATAATGGCTATGTTGCTGGACTCCCATGTAGTCGACCGCAGTTCAAATCCTGGACCCAGCGGCTTGAACTTGCACAGAGTGTGTGTGTGTGTGTGTGTACATGCCCAGGATCCTGAAAGGAGAATGGAGGAGAAGGAATGGTGACGTGGCCACCACCCCCCCATCTCCGGGAGGTGATTTCTTGCCGTCTGTCTGTCTGTCTTTCTGGAGAGGGCACGCACCCTAATGGCAAAAACCTCTCCAAAAAATAAATAAATAAATACATTATGTAAGTGTAATTCCTGAGGAATCTATTTGAGAAAGTATTTTCCATAACAGGACAGGCAATAACTATCTTAAGTTTCATTACAATCTCTGTTGCATGATCTTCTGATAGTTTTCTTTTTTAAACAATTTTTTAAGACGTTAACAACAGTCGCATTGGTCCTGAGACTAAGTAGATAAGGGAACTGAACCCTTCATGGCTAACTGTGCAGTTGGAGTTCTGACCCCGGCAGCCTGAAAACATGCCAGGCATGTGTACGTGCATGCCCACAATTCCAGCAGGGCTGAGAAGGATTTGCTGTGTGACCTCAGTCCACTGTGGGATGCTTTCTCCTTTCCTTCTCCATCTCCATCTCTCTAGCGAGTGCACATACCTGTTAGCAAATTTTTAAAAATAAAATAAAACCACTCCACAGCCACATTCTTACTGGGTTATCAGGAAAGTCATGGCACATTTTTGCATAGAAAAATACATAATGACTTTCCCAAAGACACATAAGCCATAGTTCGCCACGCCCAGAACTAACTGTTAAGAGTCATTCCAAAAGATAATGGAGGACCATTAGTAAAAGAACTGAGGCATTTATGTAATTGTGGAGTTAAAACAAGGATGCGGACACAGGTGGGAGGATAGCATGTAAATGTTACATATTCTAACATGTAAACAATGTAATTAAATAAAATGGGAGGAGGGAGACAAAAAGGAAAATAGGGTAACATCACCGATAATTCAGATAACTAGAGTCAAAGGACAGAATTTAAAAGTGACAGGCACGATAGGAAAAGTTAAGTATGAGAAAGATCTCCACAAGATACAAATATAAAACAAAAGCAGAAAGCCAATAGAACATACGAACCTTCTGAATATAAAGAACAGCAGCAAAGCAACAAAGACACACTAGGTGGCAACAAACTGAATAAGTAGTAAGTAATTCTGACACACATTTTGACTAATATGGTCAAAAGTGAACCCAAATACATCAGTCATATAAAAAATATGAATAGGAGCCAAACTTATTGTCTAGAAGTTAAGGAAGCCAGATTCCATATGGCCAACCTCACAGCTCAAATTTGGCCCTAATGGCTTGGAAAAAATGTTGGACACATGTACATGTGTGCCCCAAAACCTAGCAGGATGGAAAAGTAGAAGGAATTGAGGAGAAACCATGCCCCCATTGGGTGGGGGGCAGGGGGAGCTTTTTATAGAGACCAGCGAGCGGTGTACTGGTTAAGGTACTGGACTCCCACATGGCCGACTACAGTTTGAGTCCGAGACCCAGCAGGTTGAAAATCATGCCGGTATGTGTGCATGCATGTCCGAAGTCCCAACAGAATAGAGAAGGGATTGATCATCCCTCGGGGGAGGGGGGGGGTGTGATTTCTCGCTTTTTGTCTGTCTCTCCAGCGTGTGCACATACCCCATAGAAAACAAGCACACATACAAAACAAAAACCCACACTTCTCTCTCTCAAAAACATAAATAAGTCAATAAATAAATAAAGCTATATGATTATAAACACTGGCTAACGGGGTGGATATTCCCTATCTAGATCGTAAGATGCTAGGTCCCAAGACAATGTCTTTCTTCATCTACATTTCCCAAGTCTAGTATAAAAAAAAAAATAGTAAGGAGAAAAAGCACAGAAATTAAAAGAATCATAAGATCCTTAATTATTTATTTATTATTATTTTAATTTGACCAGAGAGAGAGAGAGAGAAAATGAGAAAGTAAGCCCCACCAATTCCAGGAGTCAAAGTCAAAGTCACCAAGTGCAGTTGACTATGTGGGAGTCCAGCACCCCATGTCACCTGCCAATCCCAAAAATAAAAAATTTTTAAACTAGCTAAACAGAGTTTGTTCACAGAATTTGTTTATGTACTGGGGTCATCAGAAAAGTCACAATGTATTTTTCCTGTTTTTCTATGCAAAAATGTATCTGACTTTTCTGACAACCCAATAATATTCCATATTTTCATTTTGACCAAATCTTCCAAAGTAAATTTTTAACAGCATATTAGAAAACTAGACTATTGAAAATTTAAAGAATCACTCCACATGTACATTTATATACTCATTTTGGAAAGTCATTTTTTTAAAGACTATTACTTTAATTTTGTGTATTTATCATTTTTAAAAAATTTGACCAGAGACAGAGAAAGAAGGTGAGAAGGCAGGCCACCACGTCCAGGACCCAAACTGTGGTCAGCCATGTGAGAGTCCAACACCTTAACTACCACACCATCTGCCAGTCACAAAAGTCTTATGTTTCAAAATAGTCTACAAAAGAAAAATTTCAAAAATAAGCTAGATTAACAATAAAATTTTGGACACACTGCAGTTAGAACCCAACTTTATTGTTACAACCAATTTTTATTTACAGAATATAAATCTCTTCAAAAAGATACATTCCTTCATTTAATCAATGGTAAAAAGCCTTATTAAACAGAAATAACGCCTGAATATCTTAAACAGAAATACAAACAGCTTCACTAAAAGTTTAGGAACATATAGTAAAAATGTATTTTTACTTAAGCAATTACATGAATGAGGTTGTTTTTAATTTTCTTCACTGGCAACCCCATTTTATCCGAAGAACAAATTTTGCTTAACAGTGGGGAAAATGTAAAAATTAAATTCTAAACATGAACATATGCAACAAAAAAACAGGAAGTATCTTCATCACCAAACAGATTAACAAAATTCCCAGACACTCAGATACTTTCTGAGGCATCTCAAAACACCTACATCAAAAGTTGCATTCATTTGAGAGGTATCAGTACATTTTCAGTGCTGAGACTATTTGTAGCACTTACAGTATATACAAAGCAGCATTATACTACTAAGGTTCACATTTGATAAACACAAATTTTTACGTTTTATGTCACAATTTCCCAATGCAACATACAGTGAACGCAATGACAATTATTCATTTCTTCCATCCAAAACTGATACAGCAATTACCATTTAAGCACATGGAATAATGCCATGTCTTCTTCCTTATAATAATAGTATATTTTAAAATTAAAATACTTCGTATCATGGAAATTTGACCTAGCTGTAGAAAGGCTCCTAAGTATAGTCGAGTCAAAATTTTTTTCTCTTGTCAGATTCCATTAACTTATAGTTAATTTACTACAGATAAATACAGGAAACTACTTCCAATTATTAAACAAAAATGACAGTGTGTTACTACCTAAGTAGCAGCACACCACTACAACCATGGCTCTTTTGGGGTCATTTCCAGCTCATGGGGGCTAGTTTACATGGATATCATTGGGTTTCAAGTTATCTCTGAAGGTTCCTTTATTAAGAGTTTGGAAATTTAACTAATGGAACACTTCTAATTCCAATAAGCCAGTTTTCTTACTCACATTCAAATACAATATGTAATATTTTCAGCTTTTAAATACAATATGTAATGTTTTCAACTCTTATTAAGTATCTTGTGTTTTATTGAAATGAAGAATGGTTTTCAAAATATCATTAACAGTTAAGATATTAATCAAACACTTGGGATTAAGAGTATTTTAGTAAGCAATTTTTGTAACTTAGAATAGTTATAGGATTTAAAATGAACACAGATATAATGGTAATAATGGTATTTTAACCCTGCTGTTTTGTATCAGTAGTATACTAAGTGCATAAGGTACACAGTAGAGAAAGAACATTTCAGAAAAAAAAAAAAAACTACTAAAAACTTGAATTTTGGATGCTTCAAACACAAAAGGGTTTATCCTACTTCTAAGCACTATCATTTTTCCAACAAATTATTGGATTTTCATCCCATTTCAAATTACAATCCAGAAATGAACATTTTCAGCATAAAAACTGTTCAGAAAAATCTAATCCATTATGTAATGTATCTTGTCCATTTTAGTTTTCAAGTATTCAAGTAATACAAATCCAACTATTTTATTTTGCAGGAACACATTTACAGACTGAACTTCAAAAACAGGGGAAAACTCATTTAAAGTAACTGATGTATTCTTCTAGTCAAAGACATCGAAAACCCAAGACATAACACCGTAATCACACTAGTGGTATGCAATAGCCCCGGGGAGAAAGGTGATTCAATATAACTAATGCCTTCTTTTAAAAATTATCAAAAACAACAAAGATTGCCTTAAAATGTAATTAAATTCCCAGTAAGTTAACATTCTAAAAATCTAATAAACTAAAGAAAAAAAAAAGGCAAATCAATTTTGAAATAAAGATAAAGCTGCTTTACCACATACGTAGTTCTTTTTCCCTATGCATAATAATTACTAGCATTTGCCCTCTGTGTGTAAAGTAGTGCTAGCTGCTGCCAAAACCAGCTCCCCTACTGTCCTAGCATAAAGCATTGTTAACTTTGTCTATAAACTAAATGGCTGATTAATACTAAAAGTTTAAATCTGTCTTACTTTGTAATGTAATATATTAAAAGCTTTATTAAAAGCAATTTAAAGCAGAAAAATCAATCTGATAGTATACTATGAAAAAAATTCACAAAGTGATACAGACAGCGTCTGTGTAATGTAAAAAAGAATTATCTGTATAATTTTGAAAGTGGAGATTTGTAACTTTTAATTGAGAGTGTTTGAAGGACTTTTTTTCTTCTTTAAATCTGGCAGCTTTAGTAACAACTATTTATGAAGTTAAAATAAGTGTGCAGAATTGTGCAGAATATGGAAGTAGCTGTCACTTAAAGATTCTTACATCTTTCATTCTCTTATTACGGACTACTTAAAGTTTAGAGACATCAACTGATATATGCTTAAGTTGAACTAAGAGCAATTACTTGTCCTATCTCTGGTATACACAGGATTTAGGATTCACATTCAGATATATAAAATTTCAAGGTTTCTTTTCTTTGTAGACAAACCCTGAAAATAGGAAAAGGTAATACTTCAGTTTGTAATTTGTATTTTAAACTCCCCTTAGCTAAGAATCATGACTCAAAAACTGGAGCTCTATTATTACTACAGTGTATAAATTTACACTTCTAGAAATCTAACCTCAAAAAAACGAATACACAACTGAAAAACAAAGGAAAGTCTTATTAGGCACTGAGAGGCTAAATAAATAAGTACTGACAGTAACCAAAGCTGATAAACCTTATTTCCAGTTCCTGTTATCTCACTTTGCTGCCAGAACTGTTGGCTATTTCCCGTCTAAAGCCAACGAGCTGGACCATTTCCTTACAGAAAAATGCCTACAAAAAGAGAAGAAAACACGGAACAAGACACAATCTCATATGCAAGATACAATTCACACTAATTTACAAATTTTTATTTACACTGTTTTATATACATTCCAGGCAGACCTAGTGAATGAGTTTTGTGCTCCTTCTGATCTTAGATGATCAGGAACAAACAGTATGACACACTACCACCTCGCTTTGATGCCAGAAAATGGTGGTAGCATGGGGTTAGGAAGGGGGAAAAAATATCAAATTATCAGTGGTCAGGTAAGATCACAGAAATATAAGGGGAGAGGAAAAATTGAGGAATTTTGCTTGTTAAAGCATCCAGGCCACTCTGGTCTATTGACTAACATTGAATATACATGAATGCCACTTCTTAACTATTTTTATATTTACAAATGAGCTTACTATCAGTTGAGTTATTAGGTAAGGCATTCAAGTTCCTTGTTAACATAAAAAGGCAACAAACATCTCAGCAAGCCAGAGGACAAATTTAGATGGTTGATTTTACAGCACTGTTGACATTTATCTTCCTTTAGAATCCTTTAAATGGTCAACATAAAGGAAAGCATCTTTGAACCTTACTGCTAGCCTGCACCATGATCCCAAAAACCTGCATAGGAAGTAGGAACATCACAACACCAAAATCTAGCCTAAGAGTAGCAGTAATAGCTTAAGTATCTTTTGTTCCCAAGACCCACTGCATACTTTGAGGGCTACAGCAAGAGTTTTTATTCCTGGTCACATTCAATTCTACATGAAACTCTCAGGAACGCTTAACAACAGTGTCACGGCTAGCCGGCATGTAGTCTACCAGCAATGGCTGAGTGAATCTCTATTCAAAATTGTTTGAAGTAACAATATGGAGTAAGGTAGAAAAATGATCTTCTCTCCTCCCACAGTTCTACAAGATGAAATAGCTCTTTAGAAGGCAGAAAAAAAAAAAAAAGAAAAGAAAAGAAAATCAAGAGTATTTCTTATCTCACCAAATACAATTTTCCAAGTTGACACTCACATTACAAAAAAACCATGAACTGCTTAATTGGTTGCATTCAGTTAACCAACTATGCAAAATTCTACTGATTTTATAGTAAAATGGTTTATTTTTTTAAAAGTGAACATTTATAACACAGGGGAGGTAGAAAGCAAACCTTGGTCTAACACTGTCAAAGATACAAACATACTTTAAGAGTCTACTCATGTAACTAGAATTTACCATTTAAAATGGCTTGTAAGTGTTTCTACTTACTGTATTAGCTTTAAACATCTTGAGATAATCCAAGTAGTTTAAAGCACTTGTCTGAGAATATAAGTCATTGAAGAATACATCAGACTCCCCAGAAGATTTCTCAGAGGATAGATTTGTAGTTGCATATTTTGAATATGCAGATCCATTAAGCCAACTTTGTACATGGGCACTTATGTGGCCAAAGTGCAAAGCTTGTCAGACTAATTTTCTAAGTAAAGTTAACCATGACTGCTCCATTCCACACAGCCGACTTTAACACTGGAAGCCTACTTACCTATCTCAAAGACCTAACTTCTTTCCATATAGTAATTGCCTCCCTCTAATCTCTAAACAAAATTAAAAATAAACTTAAAAACATGAGAAAAGGAAACAAAACAACAGAAACCCTCCTACCATGAGTATTTCTGCTTAATTCACATTTTGTCATGTCAGATTTTAAGTGTACAAGATCAATGTTCTAAATGTTCCTTATTTAATTCTTTTACCACCTAAGTAGATTATTCTCGACTTACATATATCAATGAATCATTTGCTATCACTCTTAAAGACATGGAACCAAACTAAAACATGAATGTATAGAACTACAATGTATGGAATGAATCTGAACAGGTAAAAAGACTGAACCTAAATGGCATTTTCTTATTTCCAGCTATGGTAACTTTTGATAATTGTTTCAAAAATTAAGAATGCTAGTGACTGTTTAGTAAACAAAAACAGAGCATCTTGATAAATGAAACAAAATTTTTGGTTAGGAATAATCTGATATAGTAAAAATTTTAAAACCAGCAACTTAAATGACCATATTTAGCATTTACAGACATTATTTAATACAGATTTTGGTATTAAATCATACTTATTCCAAGATTATATGGTAAGTATTTATATTTATACTGCCAGACTATGTAGACACAGAGGGATAAGTTACATTACCCAAAAAAAAATGCTTTCCAATATTTAATTCAAAAAGATACACCACCAAAGGAGATACTAAATGTATTTTAACCTCCTAAACAGGCATTTTTATATGAACATTCTAAGTTACCTACACCAGTCAACAACCGGCATTTCAAGGGTAAATGATTCACTTTACTTACAGTGCATCGAGATGAAAAGGTTACATTGGACAACTAGAATGCTTACTAAAATTAATCTTATTAAAATAAAAAAAAATTCTCTGGAACATTTTCATTGCTTACACTCAACAAACAGATGAAACAGATGAAAGCAGTCACAGCATCAAGTTAAACAATAAATAATTTACATATAACACAGATTAAATTATCAAAGAAAGGCTTAAACTGACATCTTTATACCTTCTGCAGATTTAACCAATTTCTAATCCACCACATACTGATAGCAGTAGGTATATTTCTTGACATCACTCAGTCTATTCAAAAAATAGATTGGTTGTTTTATAGGCATTATTTATAAAGCAAAATAACCGAATTAAATAACAGAACTTTAACAAATGTTGGCTTTTTGGAATTTCTTAAGAAAAGATTCACAAGCATTGCTCAGCTACTTGAGAATAATTAAATCTCTTCTTTACTCAGGCACTTTTAATGCAGTAACCTCAGGCTTCATTTTAAAGTACTGGTTAAAACGAACAATTGCATACCTAGTGAGAAAAGAGAATAAGGACAAAATTAGCCAAAGCTGAAAAACGTAATCCTTCTTTTATTTTCCACTCACCATTTTAAGCTTTTTTTTTTTTTCAATTTACTATTTTCAAAGACCATACATTTAGTTTATTGCACCACCTACTGGACACTTTTCCAATACAGAGAGTATGGAGAAGTATACTAATAGGTTTTTCCTTATGGACCAATTACTTGATCAAATATTTGTAGCTTTCACAGTATTTGATTGAAAAAGTAACCTCAATGTCCATATGACTTCTAAATGTTAATCCAAACAAAAGCAGAGATCAATTTAATGCATATACTAAAATGAGACTTACCCAAGGAAATCAAACTCAATAGTGGAGTACTTGGCTTGAATCAAAGCCCACAGTCCCCAAAAGAAATGAGAAGCCTTAAAAGGAATGAAGAAAAATCAAAATTATGAAAATGCTTTATTCTGTAAAACAAAATTGTTAATTGTATCCTTTTCATTAATTCCACACACCAATTTCTTTTTTGCTGTTCTTATTATTATATAAAGTATCTGAAACACAGGCAATACTAATGCACATAGCTTCTGAATGGCAATACATTTACTTCTGTCCATACCAAGAGAGGTTAGGTTATGATAAATTATAAACACTTAAAAATAGAGCTCAATTCTTGTAACATGCTTTTTTTTGTATAATGCAGAGTTCAGCATCGGTAGCACTGATTAGATGTTGGTTAAGTGTTTTTGTTTGTTTTTTATAGAATTATTTAATTTTATTATTTATCATTGTCATTATTATTTAATTTGCTACAGGGCACATGTGCTCACTGGGGAGTGTTAAGAAAACAAGTTGCCAGGGGTCTGAGACTCGAACCATGGTCAACTATGTGGGAGTCTAGCACCTTAAGCACCATACAACCTGCTGGCTCTCTCCCCACTTAAATGGTTTAAAAAATAGCTGTTAAGGGACCAGCAGTTAGTGTAATGTCTATGTCACTGGACTCCCATGTAGTTAACCGCGGTTCGCGTCCCAGACCCGGTGGCTTAAAACTCACGCCGGGCGCGTGTGCGTGCATGCCCAAGATTCCAAGAGGAGAATGGAGGAGAAGGGATTGTGGCATGGCCATCCCCCCTGGGGGGTGATTTCTCGCTTTCTGTCTCTCTGTCTCTCTGTCTGTCTGGTGAGCGCACGCGCCCTAAAGCAAAAACCTCTCCAAAAAGAAAAAAAAAAAATAGCTGTTAATAGACTTTTCTAATATATATCATTAACAAAGGCCTCAGTTTTTTCACATAAAAGCAAAAAGAAAATCCAAATCTCAGAAATACTGGATTGTTGGAAATGTCATAACATTTTTGCATAGAAAAATGCATCGTGACCTTCCCAATGACCTAATACATACATTTACATGTGAGGAATGTCTAGGGGTAACCAACACCTAAAAACAATTTTACTGGCTCAATTCTACATATCTGGTCCACAGCATAAAGTAACACAACTTTACTCATATCAGAAAAAAAATGGGCCTTGGGTCCTAAAGGGAAATTACTAGGTAATTAGCAACTGTAAAATAAAATAATTATATGTGTGTGCTTATATTACAATCTTATTTTCACTTAAACATGGTAATTTAAAATTCTGGCAACACTAATAGGATTTCACTTCCCAAGAAAAACCTGAACTGTTATAACTAGAAATACTCTAGGAAAAAAATAGTCTTAAAGAAAAGGCTTTTGTTTCACTCCAGGTAGATTCACTACAGCAAGAGCAACATGTCTGTAAGAAAAAAATCAGTCAACAGAGGTAACATTGATACATTCAAAAACCTAATTTGGAAGGTGAAGCCACACAGTAAACCAGGAAAAATTCTTCATTTTAATTATAAGGTGTAGAGTTCAGTCCAGGCTCTGTCACTAATTCCTCTGCAATAAAAAGTCACAAATCACAAATTTTTAGTCCCAGATTTATCATTTATAAAACGGGAATAAAGGTATGCATACTGTATTATTTCAAAGATTAATGAAAATAATTATGTTTAAAAAAAAAAAAACTTCAGGGGCTGGCAGGTGGTGTGGTGGTGGTTAAGGATGCTGGACTCCCACATGGCCAACCATGGTACAAGTCCCAGACCTGGGGCTTGCTTTCTCACTTTCTCTCTCGCTCTGTCTCTGTCCCTTTCTGGTCAAAGTACAAATAAATAAATAAAGTTAAATGAAATTATATAAAAAATATTTCTATCTCAAGGAGATTGAGATTGAAAAAAGTATTCTACTTCAAAAAGTATTCTGCTCTAAGATGTTTACTTAAAAAGTAGCACTGCACTGTTTTTGTCTTACTTAAAAGAAAGGACAGAACACTTCCTATAAAATATAGTGTGGAAGGCATGGCACAGTGGCGTAAGAGGAAAGGAACCACTATGCAGTGGCCGAGCCCACAAGGGAGGTCCATATTCTGCTCCTGGCCCAGTTTCATCAGATTAGGCATGGGTTCTCATGTCACCATCCCTCTCGAACTGGGCAGTCAACCATGTGGGATCAAGCTCCTTAATCCCTGTGGCTCCTGTTGGCCCCTATTAGCAAGTTCTTTAGAAATATTCATTAATCAGATATTGAGATACTGCCCCAGACTCCCAGTGAGCTAGGATTAGAGGCACACAGCACTGTAGCCTGCTTGTTTAGATGGTCTCATATGGAGCTTCAGTGACTGCATAGTAGTGCTCTCCCTACTTGTGCCACTGCAGCGAGGCCTAAATCAGTGGCTCTTGTAAGTAGTCCACATCAAGAGTCTCTGCTGTGCTAATCAAGCCAGTTTCTCCAGAGAAACCACAAATGAAAAACGAGCACATCAATCTTTACACTACTTTCTACTGAAGCTTCCATCCTGAGCAACCTGACTTGAATAATTTTGGAATTAATGTACATCATCTACCGAGTGTATTCCTTGTGAAATTTGTTTATGTTGTTCTCTCCTTTTCTAAGCATTGTAAACCTAAGAAGGAAATAACTCTGCAGAGCAATAACCTGATTTATGATATCATACTTTGAACATTTCATTTTCACCACGCAGAACAGAACTGCATCACAAAAATCAATGAGAGACAGGACCAGCAGTTGGCATAAATGGCTGTGTTGCTGGACTCCCATGTAGTCAACTGCGGTTTGAGTCCCAGACCTGGTGGCTTAAACTCACGCCAGATGCGTGTGCGCCCAAGATCCTGAGAGGAGAATGGAGGAGAAGGGACTGTGGTGTGGCCATCCCCCCTAGGGGGTGATTTCTCGCTTTCTGTCTCTCTCTCTCTCTCTCTCTCTTTCTGACAAGCGCATGGCCCCTACAGCAAAAACCTCTCCAAAAAAAAAAAAAAAAAAATCAATGAGAGAAAATTTTAAAAATCAATGGTAAATACTCTCAAGGGTTATGGACAAGTCAAGATAAAGATTAGAAAGACACGAGAGTTGACAGTTTGTCATTATTTGTAAGGACTGCTTGAATTTTTTTTTAAAGGTAGCATCTCACTAGGTTGCAAATCTTCAGTCTCCCTAGGAGACTACAGGCTCATGCTACCACACCTGGATTTTGAGGGTGTACCAGGAGTTGAACCTATGTCCCTCCTGTGGTCTCAGCCTGATGAGAAGCAGGATTAACCTGCACATGCCACTGCAGCTGGACCTGAAGGACTTTTTAGTAGTAGTGAGGGAGGGCCAGTAGGTAGCATAGAGGTTGAGAAGCTAGATCCCTCCCTGCTGACTCAGCAGTTTGAGTTCCACACTCCGCAGCCTGAAAATCACACAAGGCACATGTGTGTATGCCCCAAATTCTGAAGTGACTGGAAAAAGGACCACAACATGGTCATTTTCCTTGAGGGTGATTTCTCACTTTCTGTCTTTCTCTAGTGAGCACATATGCATTAAAAAAAAAAAAAAAGTGAAGGAAAAGGCAGATAGTAGTAGGCTGAAGAGTACATTAAAAATAATGAAGGAGAAAGTTGGAGGGTTTATTTTAGCTTATGCTTCCAATAATTTATTCATTTAAACACTTGAAATGAGACAGGCATACCTAGATAATGATCAGTAAGCTGAAACTGAGAAAGTAAGAGAGGAAGGTAACAGAAAATAAGCTATAAAAAAGTACTGAAAAAGAAAAGATATATCAAAAAGAGTAAGTGGCGTGGTGGTTAAGGCGCTTGGACAGTCCCACATAGCTGACCACGGTTCAAATCCTGGATCTAGTGGACAGTCCCACATAGCTGACAACGGTTCAAATCCTGGATCTAGTGGACAGTCCCACATAGCTGACCACGGTTCAAATCCTGGATCTAGTGGCTGGCTTTCTCACTTTCTCTCTCTCTCTCTCTCTGGTCAAATTAAAATAAATGAATGAATAAATAAAGTTAAAATAAATAATACTTTAAGAGATTTTACTCAGCATGATATACACCTCAGTCCAGTCCAGTTGAGAATACTACAGACATCCTCATCAACAGTTAATAAACCATATCTGTGTCCCACAAATGTTTTACCTCTCTATTTTCCCCCAAATGTCCTTTCTACGTTCTTCTCCTCTCACTGAATGTATGACATTTTATTAATATATTTGCTGCACATTTTATGAAAATATTATTTCTAAATCACGTTAAATTAAGGTTCCTTTTAATTAAATTTAAGAACTTTAAATAGGAACAGGTGTTAACTTTAACTGAAAAAAGTTATTTAAGGGACCAGCAGTTAGCGTAATGGCTATGTCGCTGAACTCCCATGTAGTCAACTGTGATTTGAGTCCTGGACCTGGTAGCTTAAACTCAAGGCGGGCACGTGGGTGTGCATGCCCAAGATCCTAAGAAGAGAATGGAGGAGAAGGGATTGCAGCGTGGCCATCTCCCCTGGGTGGTGATTTCTCGCTTTCTATCTCTCTGTCTCTCTGTATTTCTGGCGAGTGCACACGCCCTATAGCAAAAACCTCCCCCACCCCCCAAAAAAGTTATTTTATGTCTCTTATTTGCTCTTCTAAATCAAAAGCATTTTGAAGTAATGTACTATGTTTTATTCCTTTTCCAAATTTCCAATCTACTTCACCAGGAGTAGCAATAAATGCTCAATATCTGATTAATGAATATTTCTAAAGAACTTGCTAATAGGGGCCAACAGGAGCCACAGGGATTAAGGAGCTTGATCCCACATGGTTGACAGCCCAGTTCGAGTCCTGAACCCCATCCCATGGCTTGAATAGTAATACTGGGTACATGTGAGTGCATACCCAAAATCCCGATAAGAGAACAGAGGAGAAGAAATAGCAGTGTAGACAATTTCTCACTTTCCCTCTCTCTGTCTCAATACCACGTAGAAAGACAATCGGGGGGCCGACAGGTGGCGTGATGGTTAAGGGCAAGGAAATCCAAGTTGGCTCTCTTATAGCAAACAGTGGAAATGACTAAGAGTTTATATACTATGTGGATCTCATGTGAAAATTAATAAAATTTTTGGAAAAATTATTTATTATTATTATTTAATTTGCTATAAGCCTCATGTGTTCACGATGGATATATGAAAAAATACAAATTACAGCAATAATAATATTCCTCTGATTAATAAGAAACTGGCTAAATGTAGTTAAGAAATTTGCTAAATGAAAGTATTAAGTTGATTCTAAAGATCGTTAAATGACCTAATGAGAAAAAAAAAAAAAAAACCCTACATCCTCTATTTTAATATCATGTTTAAATACAATAAATAGAAACATCAGGCATCCTAGGACCAAATGAAAAGCATGCCATTAATTGAACCAACAGTTCTATGGAAAACAAGTACCAGAACAAGGGGTAAAAAATCACATTTCAGTACACCTTCTTACTCAAGATGTACTGGTTGACTTTGGGGAAGTGGTGCTCTTAAAATATGAAAATAGTATCCCTGTCAGCCACCATGAAGGTCTACCATGAAAGTATACTTGTAAAGATAATGTTGTAAATGTTCCCCCATGTTAACTGCATAAAAATACATTAAAATTTAAAAGAGGTAACTAAAATAACCCTAGGATTTAATTTAAATGTTTACACCTTAGTTGAAAGCTCATCCTAGTATACCACATTATCCACAAAATATAAATGAACTAATTATTCAAAATAAATGCCTACAAAGGTAAATGGGTCTTAAAAATAATAAAGCACTAAGACATCAAAGAATCTGGAAATGACTGTTTTCTCAAAGAAAGTCAAGAAGATAAAACAGCAGATAACTTACAAAAACATAATTTTACTGTTCTTTCAACCTAAGATGTGATAAGTAAATATACTGTAGAAAACCTCATTTCCCATAAATCTACCTTTGACTATGTTTTTCATAATATAACCAAAAAAAAAAAAAAAAAAAACCTGCTTCACATATTAATCCTTTAACTAGAACCCATTCATTAAATAATTACAGGGCCAGAGGTGGCGTAGTGGTTAAAGCACTAGACCCCTGCGGTCTGAGCCCTGGACCCAATGACTGGAAACATACTGGGCACCTATGTGTGCATGCCCAAAATCCTAAGAAGGGAATAGAGGAGAAGGGACTGTGCCATGATTGGCCTCCCTCCTACTCCCACTGTCTCTCTCCAGTGAGGGCACACACACTATGGCAAAATTTTTTTAAAAAATTTGTTAAGAAATTAATTAACTAATTAATTAATTAATGAACAGCTACCATATGGCCAGGTACTGTTCTAGGAGCTGTGGATATAATAGTGAATGAAACAAAATTTTTGTCCTCAAAAGCAATGTAAAGGGGTAAACTGTGAACAATTTTTGTTCATTATCTCAAACAAAAATTTGCAAAACTTAAAATGGGAAATTGTTTTAAAAGATGCCAAAAATCAATAAGTTTTTCAAAATTACATTATGACTTATTAATCATTTACATTTAAACTTACCAATGCAAACTGATTGACCTGAATGAAGAGTGTTTCTACCTCCTTTTCAGTAACTTCAGTCCCAAAGCCCTTATATTCCTTGTAGGCTTCAAGATAGGCACGCAGCCACTGGCCCTGCAGTTCTCTATCTGGATAAAGACTATAGTCCACATCACTCACACCTTTAAGAAGAATAAAACACTTTAGATTTTAAAAACAAGTACTCTTCTATAATACTTTAACAACCCATGCCACCAAGATTTATTTTAATTTTTTTAAGTAAAGTTTCCATTTTTGTGGTTAGAATACAAGATGTTAAGTAAAATAGCACTTATTAAAAAAAAAATTCTGTATTCCATCTTAAGCTCTAAGGCACACTACTGAGCACCATCATCAATTCTCATCAGTTCAATTTTTCCTTGGAGTGTATAATTTGAACTACCTGCACCAAAGTCCAAAATCTGTATTTTAGAAAGCACCCAGGAAGTTCCTGTGCACACTAATAGTCAGAACATTATCTTAAACCATGGCTCTAAAACTTTTCTGACCATGATTCATGCTAAGAAATACATTTTCCAGTCCCAGATGCAGTGATACCAGCAGGTAGGGCACCCATGAGATACTGGAAACACATGGAAAGGTCCAGGATTCAGATCATGGATCTACCTGAACACATCAGAATAGCTGGAAAGTTAGGGTTTTTTTAATCGCAGCATAGCAAGACTCCACTGGGAGTTCCTATCTTCCTCATCTCTCTCTAAATAAATAAATATATTTTTTAATATACTTTTTATTGAGGCCAGATGACATGGTGATTGAGGTGCTAGACTATCCAATGGATGACCATGGTACAAGTCCCAGACCTGGTGGCTTGCTTTCTCATTCTCTCTCTCTCTCTTTCTGGCGAGCACATGTGCCCTAGATCACATTTTTAATAATAATAATAAATAAAATTAAATAGATAAGTTCTAAACGTGTGTGTCTATATATATATATGGTGTGTGTATATGTGTGTATATATATGTGTGTGTATATATACACACACACAAGCACTTTTTATTGAAACCTTATACACACATCTGATACTAAGTTTGGCAAAACAGTATTTACCAACTAGTATCTTTCAACTCGAGATTTTCAAATTTGTATTTTCCATTGTTTTTCTTTCTTTTTTTAAAAGGTCATTACCCAACAAATTTGATTTCATGATATGCAATTTCAAAAATAACAACCTAGAAGATAAAAGTTCATGCTATTTGAGCAGCAAAGTTTTTCATAAGTTAGTCTAATCTTACCTCTCTAGTCTTATAACCTATTCTCCATGAATTTTATATCTTATAAGTAACTCATCTTGAAATTTTCTTCCACTTCCTGCCGTACCTTCCCTTCTCTTCTATTTGTACATCTAAATTATATCTAATTTTCCAGTTTTTCTCCACAAAATCCACTGTAAGATCACTGAGGCTTCTTCATACCCAGCAGTAACCATCTATATTACTAACATGGCAATGTCCCATATGCACCTAGCTGGTTTCCCCTCCTGTAAGTGAAACATGTAAAAATATGTACAGTGCATGTGTGGAGCTACAGCATGTATATGACCACCCTAGTGGAGGAAAATTACTGGAAACAGGGCAATTAAGATTTTTCCTAGGCCAGCACAAGGTGTGATGGTTAAGGCGCCAGATTCCCACATGGTCAACCGCACCTGGTGGACTCGAAATCACACTAGGCACATGTAGGTGTGTGACCAAAATCTTCAGAGGAGAATGGAGAAGAGAGAATTGCAGTGTGGCCATTCCCCTTAGGCAGCAATTTCTCACTTTCCCTCTCTGTCTCTTTCTCCAGAAAGCATCTGTACCTATAGTAAAAACCTTAAAAAAAAAAAAAAAAAAGAACATGAATGTGTACAAGTACAAATTCAGCGATAAAACATTCCTACTAAGTATAAACCATCCAGGGGAATTTCCTAATCTTTAGTTTTGAAGCCTTTTTTGTTTATACATATAGTCACAAAATGGATTTAAATTAATCTCACTTAAATTTTTAAAAATAATACAACTTGGTATTTGATGGTGATTAAAGATTAATATTCCAGGGTAAAATGACCAACGTTTCAGTTGTCATTGCAGAGAACACACAAAAAAACTTGAGCTTTTTAGTTAACCAATATTCCAAAACATCAAGGTTATAATGAAAACAGTAAAGGCTTTTAAATAATAAAAACTTAGGTTCAAGTCTTGGTTCTCTTTTGCACTGTGACCTTAGTGACTTACTTTCTTCATCTGTAAACTGCAAGTACTACCTTCCTTACAAGATTGTTGTGGAGATAAAAACTGAGGTGAGATTGATGAGGCACCTTGCACTATGTCAGGTCTTAAAAAAAAAAAATTGTTATTTTTCCCTTATCCATTCTTTTCCGATGGCAACTGAGGAGATTTTAGGTTTCTCCTATCTTCCAATAATAAACAAAAACAAAAAAGGTCAACAAGTGATGGAAAAATATTGCTCCTGTTCCCAATTGATATTGTTATTAATTAATTTATTTAATTGCTCCTGCTCCCAATTGATATTCTTGTTTATTTATTTACTTCCATTTGTTATTTTTATTTTTTAATTTGACCAGAGAGAGAGAGAGAGAAAGGAAGAAGGTAAGCCTCCAGGTCCGACTTTAACTGTGGTTGGTCGGTCATGTGGGAATTCAGCGCCTTTAACCATCACGCCACCTGCCGGCCTCCCCCAATTGATATTTTTAAATGAAAAAAAAAAAAAAAATCTAAAAAAAACTTTCTAAGTTAAATAAGCTAGTCCATTAGGGTAAGGCCTAGATTTTACCTGCAAATTCATTGAAATGATTTCCAATATCATATGCCAGGTAGTTGTATCCAGAATACTCATAATCAATGAACTGTACGTCACCTATGTGAGACACAAAAACAAAGACATTTAGAATCACATGTAAGATCAGGACATCCCTATGCTATTTGTAATTAAATAGCTTCCAATATTTTGTCTCACTGTATGTGCTTGGTTACATGCACTTTTGAGACAATACAGGGTAAGGCTGTGAATTTTATGGCAATGAGCTTTACAAAGATTAAATACATCTCTGTCAACAGCTTTTTCTGTGCACACTAATGTCCACTTGATTAAAGAAAAAAGAAAATGGAGTCATTGTCCAACTTCAAACAAATTATGTTTTTCACCACATGGTGGCATCAGTTACTTAAAAATTCAAGTTTAATAAGAAATTAAAACTATATTTGGAAATATTAATAATCCATTTCATTTTTTAACTTAACCTTTGATATTCTAATAGTAAACTGACAAGTTTATCTACATATGGAAATAAACTGAAAGACATGAATTCTATAAATCTTGTAGTAATACTCTAATACTGATCAACTCAAAATCATAAATTTAGTAAGTTAGTTGTTATCATACTCAGATTTTCCCAAAATGCTAAATAAATAGGCTCTCCATAATATATCTGAGGAGTTTTCATTTTTTTAAAAAGAACTATATTTTTTTAGAATTGTTTCTTTTTAACATTTATAAATTTGAGAAATTTTTATATATGCTAAATTGACTCCTATTTTAAATTACTGCTACGTTATTTCATTATAATTCTCCAAAGATAATCCTGTTCTCTTTGTCCAAGGAATGTACTCCTACTTAGAGACTTTTGAGTTTTACGTACTAAAGGATTCAACTCAACAAAGATATAGATCCTATACAGACAAGAGAAAAAGACAGTTTAGATTTAAAAGAAGAAAGGAAGGAAGGATGGAAGGAAGGAAGAAAAGTGGTCACTGTCTATACCAGGATTACAAATCCAAAGGCTTACAGGGGCACAGAGTTAAATGGATACACAACAGAGATGGCTGTGGAATAGTTCCTAAATTGCTTATATTGAGAAAATGTGTAATAGCTGCCTATTTATGCTGTCTTTTAAACATCAAGCTGAGGTAATAAAGCAAACTCTTAGTCTGTACACACTGGCATTCCCAAAGTAAGACAGCTTTCAAACTACAATGTCTTCATATAGATTTGTCAGATTAATTTGGGAAAGTATGCTACACATATTCAGATAGAGATGATAAAAAGAATAATATGACAAAAAATGTCATGGCAAATATAGTATTTTGCCATATAAAGAAAAAATTCTAATTGTACTTAATATATCAAAATATAAAATCCCAGTGATCAAAATCTACTGCATGTTTTTATAATGTGAAATGTTTAAGTGATGGTAACAATATATCACTGCAATGCAACCAGCACAAATAACTACATTCTTAAATTCACAGAACGCTAATCCACAAAGAACTTACAATTAACTACACAATCACTTAATTGCACAATGAGCAGTGGAATTGTTTCAAGGGTTTTTTATTTACAGCCTAGACCCAGTGGCAGGTTGCTAAAATGCTGTGCTCAGTAGGCTGTGTTACCACACAGGAGGCCAGGGCTCACTCCCAGTCTGACCTAAAGGCTGGGTGAGGTGGTATACACCTGTAATCTCAGCCACTCAGGGAGGCAAAAGCAGGAGGACTGCAAGCTGCGGGCTGGTCTGAGCAACAAGCAGGACCATTTGTAAAAAAGAGTCTGGCACAGAGGCGTTGCTTGTAGTCTTGGCTGGAAGGCTGAGGCAGGAGGATCGCAACATAACAGGATCTATTTCATTTTTTAAGAATGGTTTATTTAATTACTATTACTTTTTTATTTGCTATAGGGCATGTGCACTTACTAGAGAGAAATAGAAGGAAAGAGAGAGCGAGCACGCGCACATGTGCAAGCGAGGGAAGAGGGAGGAATGAGAAAGTAAGTCGCCAGGCCCGGGACTCAAATTGTGGTCAACCATATAGGAATCCAGCACCTTAACCACCATGTCACCTGCTGGCTCTAACAAGATTTTGTCTTAATAAATAGATTCCTTTTTTCTAAGAATAAGAACCACTGGGAATGAGAGTGATGACCACCATTAGTAAAAGTAACCATAATCATACTAATGTTAACAAAATATGCTCTCTCATATATAAGCCGACAGAGAGTATTCTAACTCTGGGAAACAGTCCCTTCACGCCTCACTCTGATGTCTGGTACTGACACTATGATAAAATACTTGCAGCCAAGAAAATAAAGCCATGAAAAAAAAAATCTCATTATCAAAAATAATGACCAGGGAAATGACAAATGTTTAATGAAAAACAGATATTAGATAATAAACACACTGTGATCCAAATTATGAAAATACTGTGCCTAAATAATTTTTAAAAACTTATCTGCACCGGGGAGAAAAATTAATGAAAACAAACCAAAATAAAGCACTCCAACTAATTCTATTACAGGTGATAGTGACTTTCTTTCCTTTTACTTTTCTGTTATTTTTCTAATTATTTATAACAAATATTATTTTTAGAGAGAAAAAGTTATTTTAAGGTGAATTCTCTACATGAAATTGTTAATAGGTAAGAAAACAACACAATGATTCAGGAGTACCTATCTATCAGTCTTGAAAAAAATCAAGATACATTTACCAAGTCACAAAACTAAGCCAACAACAGAGTTTTAATATGTAATTTTTAAAATTGCAGCTGTTGATGCTATAGCTCTTTAAACATGAGTTCTTGTAGAGCTCATATTAACCATAATATGCCATTAAAAATACACAGCCCAGTCCTGAAGCTTACTTTTGCCACATAAATAAAAACTTCAATTTCAATTTTTGAAATTATATTTAGAATTTGGCAAATATAGTTAAAACAGCAGGTAAAACATACCTGCTTGGAGAGTAAATACAATTTAATTAAAGTATAGATAATTTTAACAAAAGTTAAAAACTGTTTCAGTATGAAAATTTTTAGCAATGACTTTTTGTAGTAGCATTAATTTATTAAAACTAGCCTTTATTTTTAAGTGCTATGTTGAGTTTATAAATAATGAAATTTTAAAAATAAGAAAATGAAGCTAACAAAATACAGATGAGGCTGTTACCAGGCTCCGTGCATGTGAACAAGTGATGCGATAAACCTCCAGTCAGTGCGTTTAAGAAGCACGGGGTGCGCCGCCACATGGCAGCAACAATGGCATACCTAATCTGTAGCAGATGAAGAAAATTTGGCAAACTCACATTTTACAAGACACAAAGCTTAAAAGGAAAAAAATTAAAAAAAAATCTGCATTAACTATTCTTTTTCAAACTATTGCAAACAAAGTGGAACTCAACCTTAAATTTAATCTTTTGCAACACAGTAAAATTAACGAGGCCTACTTCCTTATTTAGGGTGCCAGAAAAATCAAATTACTGAAAAATGCTTTCCTAGCAACAAAAGACATACTTCTTTTTCTCCTATAACATTAACGTCTGATTTCCAAAATTTCTCATTACTTAGAGGAATGTCCACATCACTGTTAATAATTAACTAGCTCATATGGCATGGCTATTTTACTAATCCTGTAAAATTAGACTTTAGTTGGAGTTTCAAGTAGGGGAAGGCAATTTTTTAATGAAAATACTCCCTTAAACTTTATACAATTTTTATGTGTGTGGACACTTTCTAAGAGGAGACTCTCCATTTTCCAGATTCTCAAGATATCCCTCACCTCTAAAAAGTGAAAAATTCCTTTAAGCACTATGACTGTTATTTTATTACTTTGTATAAGTAGCACAATGACAAGGACATAATGGGTAAACCATGACTGACAGATAAAACTACATATTTTCAAAAGCTACATTTTGTTTTTATCGGTATATTTCTTGCATAGCTTCACCACAGTAATAAAATCTATATACTACTGATTTTAAAGTAATTTAAAACCAAAGAGAAAAAAACTGATTACCCAAAGCTACATAATTTATCATGATACATTTGTCTGGATTCTTTCATTTATTAAAGAGAAAGAGATAAATGAAAAGCAAAAATAGCCTATATAATCCCCTGATAAATCTTTCCAACTCACTCTACCTGTTCTGTAATATAAGACATGTGGAAAGAAGAAAAGTAACCATAATCATACTAATGTTAATAAAATATGTTCTCTCTTATATAGAAGGGACAGAGAGTATTCTAACTCTGGGAAACAGTCCTTCACTCCTCACTCTGATGTCTGGTACTGACACTATGTAACTCTTCACTATAGCACTCCTAGACCTAAGTGTATCTGTTTAGTGTTCTCCCTCTTCCACTGCATGACAGAGAGCATTCAGGAGGACCAGTAGGATTCCTGTCACCTCTCACCATGCAATGTACAGAGCAATCTCTAGGCACACAGGAAGTGTCCAAATGCTAGTGGAATAAATACAGGTTTTGCAACGAATGGTGAGACACAAAAAACAACACATTGGAGGAAGGGTAAAATAAGTATGAAATAATAAAGAAAAAAGTGTGTCAATTCTGACATTCCTAGAGAACACATGGTTGAACACACAGTGGGTTTGAATGTGTCAGTTTGCAAAAATAAATAACTAGTAACTAATTCAGATTTTTATAATCCATTTATGATTTTTGTTACCTAACTTCAAGATACTTTACTTTTCTAACTACTGATCTGCAATACAAATTAAAACAGGGTTAAGACTATCCTTCATTTAAAAAACAAGAACACACCACTCTGGAAAATGTAAGTCGCCAATTACAAAAATAATTTTGTGTTTATTTAAATCACAACATAAAACCAATAGAAACAATTGTTCAAAGTTATTAAAATATCACCAAAACAGCCACGACCACAATAATGAATAAGATTTAGAGTTAATCATGTGACTAAGAATGTGACTCATTCATTTTTCTAGTTAACAAAAAACTGAGTTTACGCCTCAATTCTCTCAAAATGCTTTCCTTTTCTTACATTCATTTCTATTTCCTAAAAGAGTTGTAAATCCGTTTCTTTCTTGCTGACAGGGAAAATAAAGTTAT